TTATTAATGCGGACACTTTTTATACTGTTAGTTAATTCTATATTCAAAATCCATTATAAAATTACAAGTAAGGTTGAAGCGATCAAAACATTGATAATGAAAGTAAGGAACAAATATGCAAGTAATGATCGAAATGTAAAACCGCTCATCTGCATGGTCAAACCATATCCTTCTACAAGTTTTAAAACTAAAATACAAAGTTAGCCAAATATTCCCTATGCTAGTTTTATCAAAGTAAAAGAAACTAGGAAGAAAGGTAAAATATTGAACAGATTTTAAATTTAAAAGACTCGATTGCAAAATTCATCTTTGTTTCTCAGAAACGCACAAAAAAAAACCCAAAAAAAAACACCAAAAGTTTGGCATATTCAAAAGTTGGTTCATCTCTAATTATTAAGGTTTTAATTTAAAAATAATATCAAACTTATTCACAATAAGCCTGATAAGTTTGGTAGAATTAAGTAACACAAAAATAATATTCTGAAATTAATGTTCATCTGAATGAGACCGATGTCAACTCGGTTCGATTTTGATTTTTAATTAAAAAAAAATATCAACATGATTATTTTTTCTCCATTATTTATAAATTTGTGTAATTTTCTGTCGATTAAAAAAAAAAAAAAAAAAACTATGGTGAAGACTGAAGAATTTTTAAAAATCGACTTGAGACAATATTTTTAGCAATAAAATAAACATTGGACAAAAGTTTATTCTTTGAAATATTTCAACAAAGTAAGCAAATCCATACATAGAAAAAAAAAAAAAAAAAAAAAAAAAAAAAAAAAAAGGGAAAATCGGTCATCAGTTAAAAAAGAGAAAAAACGGCAAATTAACGAATTAGTCTAACATTTGTTGTAATGAAGATAAAGACTTCAAATAATAAGAATATTAGAAATTTATTTTAAACCAACAGCTATTATAACATGATTTATAAAATTATCAAAATCTCAATGACCAATACAGGACATTGCACAGCTGATATGGGCCACGAAAGAAAAAAAGAAAAGAAAAGAAAAAAAAACTCATGGAAGCTACTAGTAAATGAAAGGTAAGAAGAGTACAATACAGAGCCATCACTTGACTGGTTTGTAATATCAAGGCCATTTTAACAGGCAGTTCTTGCTTGTGCTTGTTGAGTAAAAAAAAAAAGAAAAGAAATGATATTCAACCTTTAGAATCAGATATTCGTAAGGAAATTAAGGAAAAAGTGTGACGAGAAATTACCATAAAGAAACAAAGCGCAAACAAACTCTGGCGCTATAGAAGTTGCAATAGTGTCGTCAGCAATATTTATTTACTAAGACAAAATAAAAGCTTAGAGTGCTGTTGAAACCTTATTCAGTGTAATGAATGTAAACATAAATAAAAGTAAAACGCATTTTTCATCATCCAACAACTAATTTTTTTTTACTTTCCTTTAAAACAGATGCGCCCTTATTTTTAACTTCTATTTTTCAAAAGGGGATTGGAATGGGATTCCATTATTAATAAATGATACCCCCCCATTTTTTTTTTGTAAGAAATAAAAAATAATGTAAGCAATGTTATGTGTAACAGTTTTTTTTTAAACTTCAGCTACCTACTAGAATGGGTTTCCCCTTAAAGAGAAAGCCTTATTTCGGCAGTTGGCGATTTTTGTGAGTGACAATGTCGTTGGTCTGGTCGGTCGACCAAGGAGCAAAAAGAGGCGGTGGCAAAAAGAGCCCGACTAGCGAGTCATTGCAGGTGGTAGTTTGTTTAAGATAAATAAAATAAGGCGGCTAAAAATAATTATATAATGGAAAATTAAAACAGGAATCAAAATAAAAGAAAAAGGTAACAAATAAACGAAACTGAAAAGATAGGACAAAAAAAAAAAAAAAAAAAAAAAAGTTGGGTTAAACTTAAAACTAAAAGTACATACTTTATTTTTGAAGAACCGAGTTAATGGCCATAGTGAAAAGGAAGGCGGCTCCTCGCTTTCTTTTCATGACATTAATTACCAAGATGACCAAACATAAAATGTGAGTTGGCGAAAGAAAGATTTGAAAATATGTTAACTTTCTTGTTTTTGTTTTGAAGAGAAAGAATTAAAAATGCCAGAAATCTTAAATGAAAAGTACAAAAAAAAAAAAAAAAAAAAATTACGAGGTCGTAAAAAAATGTAGATGTAACCTATGCGGGTGTGTTAATTATTTGTGATAACAATGGCACAATTGCATATATTTTTGTTTTACAAAGCGGTAAAAAAAAAAAAAAATATAAGCAAATTATATCCAGAAAAATAATACTTCTTTTATATAAAGCAAAGAGACTAAAAAATAAAACTAATAAAAGTAAATATTCACTTATACTAAAAAAGAAAAAAAAGATAGCGTTTTTAGTTTTAAAAATTGATACAACCGAAAATTTATAATTATTTTATTAAAAATTAAATGTTGTCTAAAGTAAAATTTTAAAAGAAAAAATATTTGTAGAACTTCGGCGACATACAAAAAAAAAAAAAAAAAAATCTATTCTAATCAATGTGTGACTTTGATCGTTTAAAAAAGTCCTAACAGAAAAAAAATAATCTTTGGTTAGAGAAAGAAGGGTGGGGGGTACCGAGCAAAGTGGAAAAAAAAAAAAAAAAAACTCTAAAGAGACAAAATGTTAGAAAAAGAAATAATTAAAGCTTTTATTTTGTTTAAGCGGAGAAAACGAATTAAAAGAGAAAATGAAAATATAGAAATACTGAAAGAAAGAAAAATAAAAATGAAGACAGTGTAGCTTTCTGCTTTAGTAATTTTCCTGAACAAGGAGCCTCAAGAGTGGAGGAACAAGTTCAGCATCGGACTCAAGTAAGAGAGAAAGAAAAAAAAAGTGAATATATGAAAGAAAGAACAAATGCTGAAAAATTGGTCAATAAAATAATTAGCAAAATAAAGAAAAGGTCAGAAAGGAGTAACTAAGATAATAATAATAATAATGATAACGATAACTAATCATAAAAAATGTAAAACTGAAACGTCTCTACTTGAGGGTTTTTTCCCCAGTCACCAAGCAGAAAAACAAGGTATTTTTAAGATTTTTTTTTTAATCTCAAATTTACGTAGAAAATTTTTAAGAGTAAAGTTTATTAAAAAAGGGTGTGTAAATGTTTATTATTTGCGATTTAAGGGGTCTGAAATAGACATTTATACGAAAGGGTGCTGAAAAGCTCTCGTCCCGACCCACTTTTCAAAATTCTGACCAAACCTAATTTTTTGGGGGAAGGGCATCTTGGTTAAGCCGAGAACTTTTCACCACTTTATTATATATATATATATATATATATATATATATATATATATATATAAATCAGCGTTCAGTTCACTTTAAGTCACCAGATTCAAATTGATTTTATTTTCCTCTTCACCTCAAGTAAATAAACGCAGATAAAAATCATCTATATATATATATATATATATATATATATATATATATATATAGAATTTCAAATTTTTTTGCCCCTGCTGCTCAGGATCCCAGGACATAATCACAAGTAGAGCAAGAAAGCTAGTGGCACTATCAAGTAAAGAAGAGAGGATGTTGGGCAGGGACAGTAACAAAATAATAAAATAATAATAAAGCAGACAAAACAAGCTTCGAGGATGAGGATAGAGATGGGAAGAAAAGTATTTTAATGTGATGTGTATGGGGCGAATAAAAGTGACATGATGATAATAATAATAATATTAACGTGAGCTTACCGGGTGAAAGCAATGGTGGTCTGGCTTCGTTGTTATTACCCATGATCATGACCGATTCTCTCTCTTTTCCACTCAGAGCGAACACGCTAAAACAATGAAGCCCACAACAGAGCTACATTATTACACCAACAACACTCCCAAAGCTTTTGCAACAGTACGAGGAACCCCTTTACACTTACACACGGGTGGATAAGGGAGTCAAAAAAAAGTTAAATCGATACTCACATTAATGATAAGAAGCGGCGTACTAGAAAGAGAGAGAAAAACACAGGCCGTGTAAGGGAGGTTGAGGGCTGGTCTCTCTCCTTCTCTCTCTCTCTCTAATCACATGTAGTACTCTCTTACTCACTCCTTAATCACATGTAGTACTAAACACACTTCGTCTCTCTCTCTTTCTTTCTCTCTTGCACACACGCGCGCCGCTATCGACCTCCTCTCTCTAATACCATGTAGTGCTCACCCTCTCTTCACATGTGGTAGTCCTTGACACTCATTGTCTTTCTTTCTCTCTTTCTCTAACATAGTTTCCTTGCTCGCAAAGAATCAAGGCAAAACAGACGCACAACAGAGAAAGAAAAAAAAAATTTGAAAATTAAACAGTATAAAAATAAAACGCATAAAAAAGTTAACTTTATTTTTTTTTCATAATTAAAATAATTTGAATAATTATTATTATACGAAGTTTTTTAATGAAAAAAATCCAATATACACATACCGATTAATGAAAAAAAAAAGTGGGTAAGGGAGAGGAGAGGCAGGTGGTGTCATGTGACCGAGAGTAGAAGTAATGAAGTGGAAGTGTTATATTAAAAAATAAAAAAAAAAAATAAAGAAAAACTCGTCTAAGAAAAATTGAAAAAAAAAATCTTTAAAATAAATAAATAAATAAATAAAATGGATTTTCTCTACCACATGATGATTACTGAGAGGGAGTCGACGGAAACCATAAAAATTTTGCCAACCGAGCCGCCACTACTACAGTAGGCCTCAAAATATTTTTTTTTCTGAAAGGCCTCGTGTTTAGAAGAAAAGTACAAATCAACAATAACAACAATTGCCACTAAGTGAAAAAAAAAAGAGTTAGTACTGTAGCACAGCTGTGTGTAATTCTGACGAGCGTGCTACAATAAATATGCCATAGTACTATATATTAAAAGAAACTGAAGATATTTTATGCGATATATATTTCGCGCGCATGTGTGTGTCTAGTGTAAAGTGTGTGGTTCTTTGTGTGGATGCACAATAAATATGGGTGTATGCATACATATAAATATAGGAGTAATTACACACCTCGTGCTGAAACGTGTCTAAGCAGGGTTCGACAGCAGTACAATCGGCAGGAGAATCCAGTCTTTCGGTTAGGAAATTAAGTCGCGGAAGTCCCTCTCCAAATATGCGAGGAGCGCCACGTGTGAGTGAAAATGGATGGATGAAGGAGGATGTGTGTATTGGGACTTAGGAAGCGCAGAATGTGGTGCGAGCGACTTAGTTAGCTGAAGAAGGGAGTGGAGTGAGGAGTAATCAGCAACGATAGGAAAAAGACTTACACCACCTACTGCTGCTGCTTGCTTACGTTTTTTTTTTTTTTCTTTTTTTTTTCTTTTTTACACAGTTTAACAGCGTACTCGGCGTAGAAATTTGAAATGAATAAATAAATAAATATCGTACATCGACAATCGAATAGAGAAAAGAAAAGATCATGTACAAAAGACAAAAACAAAAAAAATGATTTTGAACAGCTCGTACTCACTGTAAGTGTAGTGTATGTGGTAACGGGGAACGTTCATTAAGCATACCAAAAGAAGAGACTGTACTATGGGATGAAAAAAATTAAAATGAAAGTACTCTCGGGTAAATACGAAATAAGTAACACGAGTTGAAGTATTCGTGATAATAAGTACTTTTATTAGTTTTAAATTCTAACAGTAACTTCTTTTTGCTACTACTACTAATAATAATGCTAAGAGCTTGATGGAAGAAAGGTTCGGCAGTGCAAGAAGGGATTTTTTAGGAGATTACTGGGGTTGGTTGTGGAAAAAAAGTGAGTGGTATGTATGTGGGTCTCTTAATGTGCTTTTTAGAGGAATCACGATAGAATTTAAAGGTAAAAATAAAATAAAGGCAGAAAATAAAGGACAATACTTTTCAAAAGAAAAGGTCAAAGCTCAAGTGTGTGTGTGTGTGTCCTAGAAAGAAAATCTGTCCAATGTTTACGGATATTCAAAGCGATGGTCTTACTCGTAAATGAGGAAATAGTTATTATTAGACATAAAAGGTGTTCAGATGCGCACCTACATTTACAAACATACTGTGAAAGTGTTGCAGATTTTTGAAGCACACACATGTACTGACTTCTCGGATGATGAAATCACCCCCCCAAAAATGTCAGTGAAGACGGGAAATGTCTCCCTTGAAAATCAGCATTCGACATCTTATCGCTACGGGAGCATAGCTAGTATTTCAGAGCGTTACTAACTACTAACTAGTAACTAGTGAGTTCGATCCTCGCTGGGTACTCTGCACTTATGGCTTCTGCCAGGTTAAGGTTAAGTTTTAAAAATAAATAAATAAAATATATGGCTATGAAACTAATTTGAATTCCATCATCATCGACGGCTCTATACACTTGTAACCAACCTTATGCTGTACCAGAGGACTTGGAATGATAGATAATGAACAGCTTGAAAAAGTAAGAAGACTAACAGATATCAACATTTTTTTTTCGTTGATTATTAGTTCAACGCGAGAAATGAATAGGGCAACGACCGTATAAAAACTTAAAAAAAAATAACAAAAAACGATTATTTGAAAAGAACAATAGAGTCTTAAACGTCATTTGTTTTGTAATCGTTAGGATTATATTCTGAGTTCACAAAATTAATACAACCCTATACATAAAATAAAGTCCCCTTTCATGACAAAATTCAGATTTGACTAGTTTGTTTATTTTATTTTATTTTTAATTTGTTTATGCTTATTGTTTAATAAAAAAAATGCGTATGAATTTAGGTGTGGACATTAAGCCCACCGGTACACTTGTTATAAAAGACGCTTCGTCCAACTAGTACTTTTAGTATATACACACAGATACAAAAGCGTAAAATAAAAAAAATGTATAGAGGCCGGATTGTTAGTGGCTCCTAGACCAGAAACAGAATAGGGCAGAAAGGGAGGTAGACATAGTGGTAAAGTGGATAGTTGAGGCAAAGAGAGGGGGTGGTTGTGTAGAAGGTTAGACGGCGGGGGATTTGGAAAAGAAGGAAATGACGTCAGCAGTTCCTTCGTTGCTATGCACTGTATAGTAACGGGAATCTATGTCAGGAGTATTTGTCTCTCTCTTCTCTTTTTCCCCTCTCTCACCTCAACCCTTCTCCTCCACCGCTTTTTCCCCTTGCGCTACAACTTCATAAATAATCAGTCAGTCGCGTAAGCAGGTGTGGTTGGTTATATATATATATATATATATATATATATATATATATATATATATATATATGTGTGTGTGTGTGATAGATTATTGATAATTACATCACACACATTTTTGTGTGTTATAGTCACAACAAAATAATTGTCTACTACTCACTAAACTCGTACATACATTTCAAAAACACTATTTTTACTTATAAGAGAAGCGAAGCCATATGTGTAGGTAGTACTAATCTTAGCTTAGTCTGGCACAAGGCCACAAGTGTGGGGCACCCTGCCAGAATCAAATTTACTATATAGTTGTAATGGTCGGTGAGACTAATTTACTGTCAACCTCTATTCCACGGTAAATATGTTATCAAAGTAATATTCGAGGGGTGCTGAAAAGTTCTCGACCCACCCCATTTTCCAAAATCTAATGTTCCTAATCAAATGACCAAATTTCACTATTAGATTTTTAAGGTCTACGAGATCGAGCCGAGAACTTTTCAGCACCTACTTGTTCGGTAGCGAAAATTAAGTTAAAGCGTTACAAAAAAAAAGATGAAAAGAAAAAAAACGCAATAGTTTAGAAAACTGGACATATGGAGAAAAATCAGTTTAGATATCTCATGTTAAGACATGCTACGTTGAGGTCATGCAGTACGTAATTTTAAACTTAACTTACACTGTTCATAGAGGACAAATAAAAAGTCAATGATTACATAAAATAAAAACAAATAAATAAACGCAAAAATTTCAGAATCGGATCATTCTTTACTTTTCCGCTGTTAATTTTTCAAAAACTATTGAGAATACCCCAAACCCAAAACCGAAAGAGCCAAACATATTTTAATAAAACGTTGTTGTTACAAAAAGCAGAAAGCTAAAGCAACAACCTAGCTATAGTCTGAGCAAACTTGCTGTCACGTGATCTCCAATGGACGCTTTTCGTTATAAATTGTTGTGAAATAATAATAATAATGATCATAATAATAATAATAATAATCAACGATACTGTTACCACCATCTGATTTCTAACAAGAACCACTGGAATTAAATTAATAAACGTCACTCACAAAACAAATACTGAGAGGAGTGCTGGCTTATTATAAAGAGACTGGTAGGCCCCTGATCTTCTACGGGAGCCACCAACTTCAACTGTTATGAAAACTCAAACGAGTTCGAAATGATTTTTTATCCCCTTATTATTTTCCCTAGCGTTTTATACTCTTTAATGCACATATATGGCTATATGGTCCAGGTACAAGTGTGTGCCTATGAGTGACCTCTCCATCACTAGCTACTTACCCTCTACCACCTTTATAACCGTGCCTATCAGCTGCTTTTTACAGTAAAAATTTTACTCTACGCCTGCTTCTTTACAGAGTCCATTTCCCCATCACACTCCTTAATGCCATTCAAGTGCATTTATGTCTTCTTCCATTATTTCTTTCTTCTTTTATTTTACGTCTTTTTAAATATTTCATTACACTCCTAATATAAGTTATTTCAATATATGCTCCCATTCAATGTGGCCCATTTTTGTTCTAATTTATTTATCTTTGTTTTAACTAATCTCACACCTATTTTATTTTTCGATGTTCAGCTCTTGTTTTCTTCCAGTGCACTTTCATCCAGCGAGTCAGGAGTACTTCAGCATCAAGTTAGGAGTAGTAGTAACATCTGCTGCCGGTCAAAGATAGTAAGATAACTACCTACGATAAATACCGTATGTAGTTGTAGAAGTGCAAGGACAGCTTGTACTTTTGTATACTAGGTATATATACCACAAATCAATCTTGTTCAGTTCAGTTGTTTGTGACTCAATATAGAAATGCTGGTAAAATAGATACATAAAGCCTCAGGTTCAAATCTTGTCTCTTCACATCAGCTTTCTTTTCTTCACTTTTTGTTTTCGGATAGGAAAACCCAGGAATTTCCTATTCTCTATTCTTCTGGATCAGGAAAAATATCTTAAGCATCTTTTTCCTCCTTTCGGTCACGTTCAGGCAGTTATATTCGCAAAATATTTGACAAACAATATGCAATTATCTGCTAACGTATGTCTATATTTTTTTCTGTGCTCATAAAGGAGTTTTTTTCATTAATAAATATTTCAAATACAGAAACTTACGACATCAAAAATGGTTTTTAATCTGAAGTAAATTAATTTTTAAGCAAACTTCTATTAGTAAGATCTTTAGACATATTCATTTAACTTTTTTTTTTTTTTAGTTGCTTCGCCATGGAGCAGCATTGATCCGCAAGCTAGTCTCACACAGTTATAAGCTCGATCATCACTGGATTCCCCACACTTAGGCCTTATATCAAACATAGCTTAGTCAATAATTATAAACGTTGTTAGCGTTTTGCTTTAGTCCATTGTTTAACAAACTAGCTTTAAATCTTCAGTGAGTTTCATCCCGATTTATAGCTTTAAACCAAATCATCATCATCATGAGTCCCATGACCGGATGTGGTCGTAGGGTCACTGCGTAACTAAGCATCCCTCCACACATCTAGGCTGAAGGCTTCAAAATGTATTCATTCATACGTAGCGTGTCTTTGGGCAAGTATAATTGGTGGAGCCCCTCGCTCTCCATGTCAAACCACAGCCGATGTCTTCCAACTCGAAGGCTTGCCTTGGTCACGGGACTTCAGTCTAGGAATCCCTCCGCCCAGTGATGCCGTGTCTTTACCGCACAGGTGTATGCATAGCTATGGAGCCCAGTTTTCGCCACTGTGCTAGATGGTCTTTGACTCTACAAGGAAATTCATCCGCCGTCCTGCTCACCAAAAAATAAAAAAAGCCTGGTGGGGAAACCGGTTTAGTCACCGATGACCCGACCATGCAGTCTGTTGTACTGAGTTATATGGTACTAGTGGCACTCATTCTCGATCGGTCATGAACTACGTTTAGTAAATAAATACTTCGATGCTTGGTTCAGAGCGATGGTAAGTTAGTCTAGCACGCCATCAGCTAGTGTAGTAAGTTCGATTCTCACGTGTGCCCCATTACTATGTCTCTGTGCCTGATCACGTTAATATCTATACTGTGTGAGTGTGACAATATACCCCATTAAGAACTCTTCCAGTGTATCAATCCAGCGTTTTCAGTCGAATCTGAGAAATACCAGGCAGTGTAAGTAACTCGTAGTCATGTGCCAAACTAAAGAAAGTTTAGTAAATAGTCATGTCGACATTTTTGAAAATGCTGAATTTAATTTTTATGAAGTGTTTTTGTTTGCCCAAGAGCCACTCAATGTCGGAAGCTAATGAAATGGATAGGCAAGAGGAGGAAGTAAGAAAAGACAGATTACGAGGTTAATCCTAAACTTGAAAAGGTTAAGACTAGTGACCGGGGAAGCATCCTCTCGGGAGTCTGTTCCACAAAGTAGAAGCTTTAAGAAAAAAAAAAGCTGTCCAAAAGAAACTTTCTTTTTAATCTTTTCATCCAAAGAAAGGCAATAAAGGAGCTAAGACGCAAGTGGGTCACTGAATGTGAGAGAATATAAGAAAAAGAAAAACATTATTAATGAGAGAGGCCAAAATATGAAAACAGATGACGACGATTGACATTGCATTTAAATTTTTGAAGATCAACGTTGACTGGAGAGCAAGAAACAAGAAGAGAGTTCAACAAACGAGAAATACGAGAGAGGAAGCTGCTAGCATAGAACTTACGGTTAGATCTCGCCAATTTCAACTGTAAAATGATGAGACCTAGCTGTCAACCTAGTACTGCGTTTAAGTTCGTAAAGACGAGGCACCAAAAAGGAAAGCTAGCCAAAGCATTTACCATAAAAATATTTATAGAAAAGATTCTGGAAAGATATGTTTACGCTGAAGCCGAGGCGCCAGGTCAGGGCCAATAACATTACAAACCCTTCTCAGATCAGATGTGACAGCAATATTCAATGCATGGATGAATTATAGACTTATAAATGCGCAAGATAGATTCTAGCGAGAAAATTTGTCTAACACAACGGAATGAACCATCTTTTTTAGCAACAAACTTAGCAATTGCTTCAATATAATCGCTCCACTTCATGCCTGTGGCAAATGTAGCTCGAGGTCTTATGAGTCACTCTGCTGGTGGTTATCATCAGCATTCCGCCTTGAAGGTATCATAATTAACAGGCCATTTCTTAGTTAAAAACAGATTTTGGGTCATTTTTTAGATCAACTGCCAATTTGATCTTATCGAACCGATCAGATTTGCCATTAAGACAGGAGTAAATAGTTGTCATCAGCACTGATACCGCGCTGAGAACTGATTATATCAGGAAGGTCGTTGATGAAAATTA